GACGCGAGCGAAGCCGCGGGTAAAAGCTAGTAGTAGATAATTTTAACAACTGTTCCTTTAGCCCTGTTTCAAAGATTACAAATATAATGTATGAAGGAAGAACTTTATAATTATGTTTAACTAGCTGAGCCCACGACTTCATCCGCCTGGAATAGTGTTTCACAGCTCTTCCCCCGTAGTTGATAGCATGATAATATGTGGCCTATATGTTGACCCGACCTGTTAGTAATATTCAAACACAATTTGAAGTAAATCCATGCAGCACTTTTTGAGTTCATCCCGGACATACATACATACAAACAGACAAAAATTATAAATATCATATTTTTGGCTTCGGTATCGACTATAGATCAGGCTCAAAGTATTCTTTTTAAAAAAATCGATGTACAATTCTCACTTTCCTACGATTTAATTATAAGTATAGATTATGATATTAAAATGCGACTCATTTCCAAAATATGGTTGAGAATCACTTTACATAGATTTTTCTAATACAAGTTTGATTATTTATCGTTGTGTGAACTGTGTGACGACTTGTTTTTTTTTATATTATTCAATTGTTTTAAACTTAATACCTAGCCATTAAATACTCAACTTTTGGTTTCTCTGCGTCATTTTAATATGATTAAATACCAAAAGATTTTCCCATGAAATAACATAACATCACGCCGTTTTATCCCCGAAGGGGTAGGCAGAGGTGCACATTATTGGCATAATGTGTACCTCCGCCTACCTCTTCGGGAATAAAAGGCGTGATATTGTTTGTTATATATTTCTTTTTATCAGCATTTCGATTGCTTTCCGTTTTTTTTTTAAGGGGGGAAAACCATCGAATGACTGTCAGAGTGGGAACTGAAGGAGTGTCAGACTCTTACTGACTAAAAACCACCCCGTTCCTTCTCCTGCACGTCGAGCCGGAGCCCCGGTTACCCGTTAGGTTCTCCGCGACAGTGCTTTCCGTTTACACCCTGTACAACGATAACTTAATTGATTTTATTTTCATTTAAACGATTTATGACTGACGTCTATTATTTGTCCTAAAGACACGATGTTCGAAATAATCTAACCTTGGACTAGGTAACAATTGATATAATAACAACCACATACCTAATATTCACACATTACTCAAACACGAAACTAAAAAACAAATAACACAAGCTCACCACAGTTTTAAATATAAATTATAAAACACACGAACACAGAATATAAACTTTTAAAAAATTATAAACTTATAATTTAAATACTAGTTTTACTCACTTTTTTATTATAAACTTAGAACTTATATTTTTATTTGGAAAGAGACGTACGGCAGACTTGTCGATACGTAATCAGAATGAATGAAATCCTGTGTCGTTCAGTAAGTTATATACTTAGGTATGATAGATTATATTATTATTATATAATTTATTGAGAGTAGATAATGTAATGAAAACAGAGGATAACATTGCGGATCCTATAATATGAAATTAATAATACAATTGTGTAATACATAGGTATACATGTACTTAAGTACAATCGGTAATTAAGATATCTTATCAATGTTTTATTAAAATCTTATATTCTAATTTATACCTGACGTAAAAAGGTTTATACTTACATCTTAAATAGGTTTACCCATGGCTTTGCCCGCGTATTCCTGTATTAATTCCATGGGAGCATTTAATCGGGATCGTATATCTACCTACAATACAAGTACCAGGAACTTTTATGGACTTATCTACGACGACATACGATGTCAATGAAACTTGCAGTATACCTAGTAAAACAAAAAAATAAAAACTTATATCTTGTACTTGTAGTTCCGAAAATATGCGAACACAAACATAAAAACATACACACATGGAAGATTTGTTCAGACGCTGATATACACTACGAGTAACATATACGAAAACTGGGTAGTTCTGACGCCTTAGTTACTTTTTCGTTTAAAGTAATTGTAACGAGTACGCGTTCGGCGCTCTGATTGGTTGATTCATTGGCGCCGGCCAATCAGAGGCCTTGTTTTGTGTTGTGATTGGCCGGCGCCAATAAACCAACCAATCAGAGTGCGGAACGAGGTCTCGTTTCGATTACTTTAAACGTAAATTAAACTCGTACTAAGGTCTCTGATTGGCCGGCGCCAATACACCAAGCAATCAGAGCGCCGAACGCGTACCTACTCGTTTCGAATACTTTAAACGTAAATCAAACTCGTACTACGGCCTGTGGAAATATTACATACATACGTCGAATGATAATCTCCTTTTTTGATGTCAGTTATTCTCCTTTTTTAATGTTTTATGACGAGACGCTTGGTATGACATAACTTGAATAAATAAATTGTTATTCTTCATTCTCACAGTTTGGCTTATTGACGCAAATACTAAACGTATGTTAAACGTTGTTTATTTAGCTTAAAGAATGTACTATACTAGCTCCTTCCGCGCGGTTTCACACGCTCTGCTCAGCTCCTATTGGTCGTAGCGTGATGTTTTTTAGCGTATAGCGATCCTAGATAAATGCGCTATCCAACACAAAAAGAGTTATTCAAATCAGACTTGTAGTTATGGAGATTAGCGCGTTCAAACAAAAAAACAAACTCTTCCGCTTTATATAATAGTATAAGATAAGATATAAGATAAGTGAACATAATTATAGATTCATTATGACATAATGAGCTTCCTCTACATTATACCTTATGTATTTATTGTTTACTAGCTTTTACCCGCGGCTTCGCTCGCGTCACAAAAGGATAAAAAGTAGCCTATGTTACATATACCAATACACACAGCACCATCTATACCAATACTTTTGTTTTTCCCTCGGGAATATCAATTTTTTCCGGGATAAAAAGTACCCTATTATTTAATACGGACTTCTAACTTTACGTCTGCAAAAATTCAAAGAAATCGCTTTAGTAGTTACGACGTGAAAGCGGAACAAACAAACAAACTCACTTTCCGATTTATAATATTAGTAAGGATAAGCTTACATAACTCCTTATATTCTCCGAAAAAATCGATTAAGTTGTCAATGACAATTTAAGCATCGTATCCCTCATCGATATTGAATCCCAGGTAAAAATAAAATGTTTGAATGTGATGATATCAATACCAACGTTAAAGGAGTTGAAGGAAGAAAATGAGAAAAGAAAACAGACTTTATAGACAGAACATTATGATACAGTTTTATCTAACGCTGATTATCTCCATAACGGTTTCCATGCGTGGTAAAAACTCCGCAACAAAATAAACAAGGCCAACTAGGCCTGATAACATTTTATCCCAAACCAAACCATACTAATAAAATTATATTAACTAGGTACACGGAACCATAAAACTGATAAAATTACTAACTTTTATCTAATATTAGGTATCTAATCTAGAAAAAAACAAACATTTGCCGATTAAAATAATTTATCTTGATATAGAACTTATGCAATATGTGTCTACAGTTTTGTCAAATGTTGACATTGAAATAAGTCACAATGAACGGTTGTGGTTGGCATCCATAAAGGTAACAAGTGTGTAGTTAAGTGTGGGAGAGCCATGCTTCGGCACGAATGGGCCGGCTCGACCGGAGTGATACCTACCTACTACGGCCGAGCAGAAAACCGTCATGAAGCAACGCTTGCGTTGTGTTTCGTCGTGTGAGTGAGGATACTGGAGGCCCAAAAAAAAAAATCCTCAAACTCCTAATCCCCAAAAGGTCGGTAACGTACTTGTAACGCCTTGATGTTCCAAGTGTCCATGGGCGACGCCGATTGCTTGCCATCAGGTGAACCGTCTACTCATTCTTATGCCATATAAAAAAAAACGTTTTACACAACAAAAAAAAATAGTTTTAATAAAGGTAATTAAAGTAGATCGATTTGTTACACGATTTGTGTGTCCACAAATCCAAATTGTTGTTCCAGGTCTGAGTGTCAAATTGTGAACTTGTATGTTTGTGAACGCACCTACGATACAGGAGAAAATCCTAGTGTGGGGCAACGTTATAAAAAAAAACATTCATAAGGGCCCTGAATTATTGTGTGCCCAAGGGTATTAGCGTAGTCTAAGACTGCCCTGGTGAGAAAAGGGAGTGTCAAACTCTTACTGGCTAAAAACCACCCCGTTCCCTCTCCAGCACTTCGAGCCGTAGCCCCGGTTTTATTCATACACGCACCGCCTGATATTATTTTGTTCTCGAATAAAATATACTAACCATATTGACATATTGCTTATTTATTCTTACAGGCGTTTCTATCGTCCATATCAGCTTGGATTTAAGTATTATCAACTTATTTTAGATTATAGATATTTTTAAGTCTTCAACTGCTTTTGAGCATTAGTTGCTAACTAGCTGCTGCACGAGGTATAGCGTAGGTATTCGATTAAAAATACGTCATAAATTAGTGGTTAATAATCACAACTAATTATATATGACAACTAGTTAAAATCTCGATTCTAAAAACAGATTGAAGCTTCATACATACATACATACATAACTTCACGCCTGTCTCCCATGGGACAGGGCAGAGACTATGGAACACCAAGTACTACGATTCCTACATACCTCATTTGTTTCATCAACAGTCATCAATCTTTTCATTTAATCATTTCAGCTTTTTTTTTTCAATTTGGAGTGTCGTTCTTTTTTTAATTTGTAATCCATGATGTATATTTCCAGCCAGAAAGAAAACAACCTACAAGTTTAATAAGGACTATCCCAAAATTTAAATCTAGGTTCACAAAATCCTACTAATACACACCTGGGAATCCTACATCCCACGCGAAACCATATTTTATCTGAAATTGACAGTAACGACAAATTGTAAGGAACTAACCATTTATCATTTTGGCTTCCAACTGAACTAGACAAAATTTAAAGTATAATTTAGAACGAAGGTAACACACTTATAAAGGTAACATCTAACACATTGGTTTACTTGGGACATCGACGTATGTTAGTACGATTAACGGGTTGGGATAATACAAAAAATAATAAATAATAGAAAAACACTAGAAAACTCTTCAAAACATCTTTAATTCATCCACAACTTCAATTTAGTTTTGTGATAGCACAAAAGGATCACGGAGTAAGGTCAGATGGTTTAAACGGCAACGATAGGGGCTGAAGCCGCTACGTATGGAGAAGCGACGTAGGGTGCAGCTACGTAGGGCGCGGCAGCAGAAGCAACGTAGGCAGCAGGAGATGCAACGTAGGCGGCAGGAGCAGCAACATAGGCAGCTAATCCATTGTTGATGCGATGGTAGTACTGCGAGCTAGTTGCCGTGACAACCGCTGCTGGGGCCGCAGCTACTAGAGGTGCACTCACCAAGGCAGGCTTGGCAGCAGAAATGGCGACAAGCGCGGCGAGGACAACAATCTGTTGGGATAAGAAACGTGGTTAGAATTGTTAATAATACGGGATAGAAATAAAAACGGACAACATAAATTGTAGCACATAAATACAAAGTCCACTTTACCTTACAGTCAAAATTTTGAGCTTGCAATATACTCACTGCCAATCGTAAAGATTATAGCAAACCCATCTTATACAGAGAATGCCAGTTCAACAGTGAACGATCACAGGCTGTTATAAAAGCCATATAATTACGAAATTCATTTTAGCTCTACATCATTTAAATGACTTAGCCAGTCCTTCTGAAGCTGCCACTATTCTGAACTACATTATTTCTCTTTATTTAATACACACAAATACTTACAAGTTTCATCATCTTGGTTGGATTGTTTGGCTTGTACTGCTAGAACAGGACTCGTACCTTTTACCTGTTCATCAGAACATTTTATACTTCGCCGGTGCCGATAGTGTTGCAACCAACTATCCTCGGTAACGTCTCTGGCATTGATCGACACGTGAGCAGTGAACTAAATTTAATGCTTCGGGATTCATTCGCATTCAAGAGAGCACCCATAATTTATTGTGTTTCACTTGCACTTTGAAAATATTGCCTCGTTTTTTGGAAGTGGGTTGCAAACCTAATTGCCGGATTGTCCTGATGTCCAAGTTAATTCATGTTCTAAATTCACTAGAAGTATCTACAGATTTCATTTAACAAAAAAACCAGTCTCGACTGGAGTTGGTGGCGGTACAAAGCAAAATAATGTTATTCCTCTTTCTTTTGCTCTATTTTTATGGGATAATCCGGTAAACGAGCAGACGGATCACCTGGTGGTAAACATTTGGCGTTGCCCATGGATACTTGAAACACGAGAGGTGTTACAAGAGCGTTACCGGGCTTGAATTGGGAATTTGAGGATTGCGCGGGATTCGGGGTTTGGGGTGACTGGGGAAAGAGTAATTGGGGAGTTAATTGGGCCTCCGATAACCTCACTCACACGCAGCGTTGTTTCACGTCGGTTTTCTGTGAGGCGGTAGTATCAGTCCAGTCGATACGACCTATTCGTGCTACAGCATGGCTCTCCTACACTTGTAAATGAAATGTCTTTTCATCTAGACTTAAGTTGTCCTTGTCACAGAGTACAGTTGATAGATGAAAATGGTCATTGGTATTCAGTTATAGGCAGACATGTTTATAATTGATCTGTCTGATTATAGTTTCCCTTGGGCCTTGTGTTCTTCTGGTCTCTATCCAATTCCGATCGATCGACATTGGTATTGTAAAATTTCGTACTCTTGAGTTGCAACACTAGCGCCCATTGCATCCGTATTGCGTGGATATTTATTGGTATTAAGTTTGGCTTTATATTCCGAACTCTGAATGCTATTGTAACAGCTACGATAGGGGTTGATTAGTTTTGACATTGAATAATTATTGAAATTTTATTGGATTGAAATTGTATTGACATTGAAATTTATTTCAAGAGTAAGCACCCTGTCCCCTTTTAATTCCACTTGTTCCTAGCGTTTTTTGTCACCCACATCTACCACATTCAGCTCCCAAACGGAAAACAAGATTCCGGAAACTTTGATCCTTTTTAGCATTTCTTCGATTACAACAAGCTATAATTATAAGCCGATATAACATTGCCAAAGTATAAATATGAACAGATAAGATAAACTAAAGACCGATCGACTGAATGAGATCTTCTTTATGAAGTCAACAATGAATTTACAAATTCAAACAGCTCATGATGACTTGTGTAATCCAGTACAGATGACGCAGTTTAAATCGAAGATCCTACGTCTCAATTTACAACCTTAACTTATATGCAATAAACATTATAATCCTTTATCGAAAGACATGGTTGAAAATAAGTCTTTTGACAAGACATGATGAGAAGCATATATTATAATATTTGATAAAAACTCATGAATTAAAATCCTTTTGTATGTATTACGTGACTTAGATTGGTGATATAGTTTCTGATATCTGTTATCAGACATTTTTACGTGTCACTGGGTGGTCTTAATCAATTGATCAATTACTTATGGTGTATTTTCGAGACAAGTGCACTATTGTTTCCCAACCGCTTGAATTTCCTGTAAACCAAGCTTAGTGAATTACTATGAAGACAATGACCAAAGATAATATAAAATATTATTTGTGAAATGAAAAGAATTGTTGAGATCTTCGAAATAAAATGAAGAAAAAGAAGCATAGGTAATGGGGTTCTGTTTTATCGGATGAATGCAGAAAGAGATAATAAAAAATCACCTACCTCTTGCACATCGTCACACACACCTACCACACAGAACCATTGTTACTTTTTTGTTTTATTATTATTATTTCTTTTCTCTTTATTATGTTTCTGCTATGAATAATCTTTCGCCCTGGATTAGCTTACTGTAATAGGAGATACTCTTTGAAATTATTTGCTCTTTCTGATATATGTTCCAACACCACAAAATAGAACTGACGCTAAATACAAAGCAGGATTCTTCTACATGTACGAATGGGCCTTTTCCTAGATATGGAACAGTTCATCATTATATACGTACCTATTACGAAGAAAAAAAAACGATAGTTTCCACTTCACTTGGTGAATAACTGCAGGAGACAAAAATGAATTAAGCCTAAAGGCACAAAAAGGGACTGTACAATTGAGTGAAGCCCAGTCCCCAAGCACCACGGAAATTTGACTAAAATCTATGTTTTCTTGTATTTTAGTAAGATTAGTAATTAGTATACAGCGTCAAACGTGTCTTTGCATTGTCCTCACATATGCATACAGTATTGGAATATGTATCAAAGACATTGTATTTTTTTTTAAAAAGAGTAACGAATTGAGTTTCTTGCTCATTCTTCTCCATTCGAATCTACATTTTGAAATGAGCACCTAGCTTCACCTAGCTTCACTGACGGACTGACTGACACTTTATTTTGTATTTGTTGACGTTTCAAAAGTACCAAATTATGGTTTAATTGAAATAAATGCTTTGACTGTGACTTTGACTTTGACTTCCTCTTTGCTAAGAGTGCTAATAGAGTGATTGGTTTTTTGACGTACCTGCGTGTTCTACAAATATTATAAATGTAAAAGATTTGTTTGAATGTTTGTTTGTTTGTTGGGGATAAAATTTGGAACATGGGGTACATTATGGTCTGGAATAACACAGAGGCTATTTTATACCTAATTAGTATATATATAATTAGTTAAAACAGAGTTAAGTAAATTTTAATAAATAGGTAACCAAAATGTATTAAAGTCAAAATCATTTATTTCAATCAAACCAAGAAGGCACTTTAGAACGTCAACAACAAAAATTTAGAAGTAAATCTAGTTGCTTATTCCAATGTGAAGATTCGTATATGGAGAAGAACGAGCAAGAAACTCCATAGGTTACTCTTTTTCAATCGGGTTTACAATACAATTCTTTAGTTACATAGTTTTGTTGGTTCGATTGTGTGAGAACAATGCAACACCTGAATCCAGTCAAAGATATTGAAAAAGAATATAACCTTGAGGACAATAACATTATATAGTCTTGAGCTGACCAGCTTGACGGCGTTCACGCACATACCCCAGCACCGCCCAACTCAACCATTTTGTAGGGAATCCACCGATCCAATGCACGTGCCACCGGCAATAAGATCTTTGACTAAAGTATATTTAAAAAGTCCTATAGAAAGGAATTACCAAAAATTTTATTGTTCCTGTAAATGCATCAAGAAAGGTGTGTCTACTTAATTCAAAATGAGTCCAAAACTGCTGTGCTCACCATTACATATAAAATAATTCATACAGATAACATATTGATGTAGATTGCGTATCAATATTGTATATAAACCAGTACAAAAATATACATTTTATGTACAATATCTTGATAACAGACAAAACTAGACGTGTGTCCCTTTCATTCAATTGAAGTTAATGTAAATAAACAAAAGAATTTTTGTATAGCGAAGCGCTTAAAATTATAAAATAATTCTACTTAACTAAATAGCGGTAAGTTTCATAACATTATAATCTAAACATATATTTTATAACAAAACTGCCAAACTGTTTATTTTTATGAATGAAAACTGCCAAATTACTTTTGTTTTTTTTTCATATTTATTAATGAACGTAGATTAAGTAGGTATGTACGATAATACAATTAATATAGGTAATAAAATACAATATACATATATTGCTACAAACAGCGAGGTGGCCCGGAGGTTATTATTTAAACCTTGTATCTATTTCCTTATTGCTATCAATAACTATGTAACAAAAACTATTACATAACAGAAAAAAGTGATAACTGTATATTATATCATAAAGCATTTGTTTTTAAGGTAGAAATTGGTTTAAATCTGTTTAAAATTGTTAAGGCTCCTAGATATTCTATAAGTCAGGATTCTATCCCCAATAGTTAGCGATAAATTATTGTTACTCGTCTTTAGTTGCAGTAACTTAACAACTATATGTTAATGCATAATGAATCCTACTATCAAGGTCATTTGGTTTTATTTATAATGAAAACAAATATATTTTATTAGTTTGTTTAGAACATGGAGAGAATGCAGACGTATTGGTTGGCGCTCAGCCTACTCCTGGTGTGTGCTGAAGCTTCCAAGATCCTGGTGGTGTTTCCCCTACCATCGAGGAGTCACGGGAACCTCGGAGATGGTATTGTCAGGCATCTGCTGAATGCTGGACATGAGGTTAGTAAAATGTATATTTAATTCGTTAACCGACTTCAAAAAAGGAGATTTTTAGTTTGTATCTATTTAAATGTCTATATTTGCGCTGTTATCTCGCGATTGACTGAACCGATTTTGACGCAGTTTAAAGATAAGTGTTTTTTATGGCATAAGCCGGATCACCTGATGGTAGGCAATCGGCGTCGCCCATGGATACCTGGAACACCAAAGGCATTACAAGTACGTTACTGGCCTTTTGGGGATTAGGAGTTTGAGGATCTTTGGGGATTCAGGAATTGGGGAGATTGGGGAAGGGGAGGGTAATTGGGCCTCCGGTAACCTCACTCACACGACGAAACACAACGCAAGCGCTGCTTCACGTCGGTTTTCTGTGAGGCCGTAGTATCACTCCGGTCGAGCCGGCCCATCGTTCCGAAGCACGGCTCTCCCACACTTAAAACTTGTTAAACTTAGGTTCTCCTAAGTAAAATAAAGCCTATTATACTATTATTATACTAAAGCCTTTAATATAATAGTAAAGGCTTATTTAATACTAAAGTATTTAGTATAATAATTGATTGACTTCAAAAGCGGAGGTCAAAGTCGGTTCTCTTAAACGTAGTTTATAAGAGAATAAAATTATTATTGATTTAAACAAGGTACAAAGTATAACTTAGCGCTTTTGTCACCGTTAATCTGTTTCTTTCAAATATAGTTACTTATAAGTATTACGTATTATAGTTCATTACAGTATTGACAACTAGTATTGTTATCCTTGAGACTTGAGGTTCGATTTCAGACAACGATATTATCTAACGATTATATTTTATCGAATAATAAAATATTACAACAGTGTCTTATAAGTACCTAAATCTTAGAGCCGAATAAACTTTATTTGGATTGATTTGTCGTGAAAATATCATGGAGGTACTTCTTCAAAGTAATAAAACTATGTCTGGTGGTAAGAACCTACATAAAACATAAAAACAGACAGTATTAAAATGTATGGTTTTCTTATTTCAGGTGACATACATCACACCATTTGTGTACAAGAACGCTCCTCCCAACCTTCGAACTATTGACGTCAGCAGTAACTTCGATGTATGGCCAGGTAAATATTTTTCCCATTTTTTTAAGGCATAATCCGGTATAAACGAGCAGACAGATCACCTGATGGTAAGCAATCGCCGTCGCCCATGGACACCTGGAAGACCAAAGCGTTACAAGCGCGTTACCAGCCTTTTGTGAATTTGAGGATTGTGGAGGATTCGAAATTCGGGAGACTGAGGAGGGGGGTAATTGGGCCTCCGATTACCTCACTTACACGACGAAACACAACGCAACGTTATTTCAGGTCGGTTTTCTGTGAGGCCGTGGTATCATTCCGGTCGAGTCGGCCCATTCGTGCGGAAGTATGGCTCTCCCACACTTAAAACTACTTGTTTCTCTCTTGTCATTAATTGTTTAAAGTTCTTTCAAACATTATCCGCCCTTGCCTAATTTGTTCATATTTTTTTATCTTATACTTACCCGAAATTTATAAGCCACTGGAAGGCACAAACGCCAGCAGGTCAATCGACTCCTTTCTGTTAAATTCGTTTATTCAATGTTCTACTTTTTTATTTGTTAAAAAAATATTAAAATTGGGGTATTCAATACTCTGATATCTCTACATCATAAGTTATACAAAATATCATTTTAACTACCAAACTATTGAAATTTTTTACTTCCATTATTTCCATTTGTTACCTATTTCGCATTTTATTTTAACTTGAATCCAATAAACAGTAAACACTTTATAGCACTTCTACTTTATCTAGTTTCTTTTAAAAACCTTTTCCTGCCTTTTATTATATGTACAATTTTAATTATTCCAGCTCACCTCATCACCATCAAGTCTATCATTGAGGACCCGGATGCCTTCGCCAATATGAATATGATGGCGTTCCTGGTGACAACAATTATGAACCATACTTATGAGAATGAAGCGGTTGCAGCGCTGCTGAACGATTCAAAGGAACATTTCGATGCTGTGATTGTAGAATGGATATTCAACGAGGCTATTGGGGGGTAAGTTGAATAAGATTCTTAATTTTTTTGGAACGCTCTTGAATGCCCGGTTACATCCATGAGCTAGTTGATGTTTTTATCATTGTCAACGATTAACAACCAGTGAGAGTCCACTGCCATACTATGGGCCTCTCCTAATAAAGAGGCGTTTACCATAACTCTCCTAAAACAGTCGTTTCTATCATCGCACTGTTTGCCATTCGACAGGGAGTTCAAGGTCACACATTGGAGCCCAAATGGTCCCGTACAGTTCGGTTTTAGAGAAATTTCCTCACACGCACTCTTCGATTGTAGAATGAGCCCTCTGCCGTAGTTTTCCCAATGGGCCTTAACATGGGGTTCTTCAAGGCGGGAGTGAATAGGTTTTTTAAGGGTAGGGAAGGCGCATGTAATGCCCCAAATGTTGCAAACAAACATAGGCCACGGTTACCGTTTGGTCGTGTGGCCCGTGTAAATAAGAACACGGTCTACTGTCGTGGTATAAAGAAAATGACTCAATTCCCACAGTCTCCACGCTCGGCAGGCGGTTTGGAGATCTAAGTTTAAAAGGATGAGGCTTATCAGAAATTTCTATTGCTAAATCTCTGTTAGATAAATGTATAGTCCTTTAGTCGTTTTATGATGCCCGCGAAAAGAGTACGGTTGTGACAATTATATTTTACTCTGTCGTTACGACCTATATGGCAATTTTTTTCATTAGATAGGACAAAATAACTATGTGGTGACATAAAAAACTGATAAAATCTCAACACACACCTTTTAATGATATTGTATAATCATTAATTTTTTCCATAATTTCAGTATTGCAACGATATTTGACTGCCCTCTGATTTGGATGTCCTCAGTGGAAGTACATTGGAAGCTCCTAAGTTTGATCGATCAGCCTTCGAACCCTGCATATTCAGTAGACATGACGTCGTCCAATCAACCACCATTGAGTTTTACAGAGAGAGTCAGCGAACTATGGACTCAAATACAAATGTCTGTCCTATCCTACTTGTAAGTATTATTATTTATTTTAACTTTGCAACACGCCCGAAGGCCCAATTACCCCCCTTCCTAGTTTTATCCCCGAATCCTCAACAATCCTCAAATTCCCAATTCCCAAAAGGTCAGTAACGCACTTGTAACGCCTTGGTGTTTCGGGTGTCCATGGGCGGCGCCGATTGCGCCGGCTGCTCGTTTAACGACTTATGCTATAAAAAATAACGCCTAAGCTATAGTTCAAAGTGCTTCAAAGTTAGAATTGAATTTCAAATGCATATTACATCCACACCAAGAATTGTTCTATGGCGGAACCAAACCTGGTCGCTCATCTAATGTACTACCGTACTACTACTAACCGTACAGTATTGTTGCACTTAAGCAATTAATATAAATATTATGTAAATTACTTTTTATCAGTAACTAGCGTCTACCCGCAACTTCCTACGCGCAATCCCGTTTTCTCCTGTTCCCGTGAGATTTTCACAATAATTTTTGTCTTAAGAACCTTCTCCTAATATTAATAAATACAACAAAAAAAAATCTGTGAAATCAGTCCATATATAACAAAAAAATTATTAGTGAAATCGGTCAGTCCGCGTGATGCCGTAACCCAGGGAAAAAGGCATTCCCTTTTATTTACCTCTATATAGATATTAGAAGACCATTTAGTAAAATTGAATGCGAGTTCAGAGTAAATTTAGTAGTAGTTACTTAGAATACAAATTAACGTAACATTTTTATCACTTTCAGTATCTTTGACAAAATGCAAGACGAGACGTATCAAAAGTACGTAGTTCCAGCGATTACAAAGCGTGGAAGAGATGCCCCATCGTTCTATGAAATGAAGTATAATGCTTCCTTAATTCTGGCTAATGCATACGTATCCACAGCCATCCCTCAGACAATGCCTCAAAGTCACAAATACATTGGAGGATATCACGTCGATGAAGTCGTCAAACCTTTGCCTGAGGTAATAAAGCAACTTGGTATATCATGTAATTTTTTTATAGTGCTTTAATTTCTATTTTTCATCACTTCAATTTCCGAAGAGGACAGTGCAAAATTATATGGTGAAATCTAAGCTCAATTTACGACTGCACGGTTGGAGCGGTGGCTGAGCAACTGGCTGCCGCGCAACGTTTAGCGGGTCCGATTCCCTCACGGAGCAACTGTTTGTGTGATCCATAAATTGTTGTTCCGGGTCTTGGTGACATGTGTATATGAAATTGTATGTTTGTACCCCCACGAGACAGGAGAAAATCCTAGTGTGGGGCAACGTTTACATATGTTGATACTTCGAGAAAACGATATTATAAAATTATCTCGATAGTCACCATACAGTCTTAATAGTTGCCTTAAACTGTCAAACACCAAGCGGTCACCGGTGACTGCTACCTATTGTTCTATAATTGTGTCTACAAAACCGGTACTCGACGAGTTAATAGTCTTATAGCTACTGCACAAATAATACTCTAAAGCGGTGTAATATTTTACAGGATTTAAAGAAACTGATAGAAAGCTCGAAGGATGGTGTCATTTACTTCAGCATGGGTTCCAACTTGAAGAGCAAAGATTTGCCAGAAGAAATCCGAGTGAGCCTATTGAAGATGTTTGGAACATTGAAGCAGACGGTCCTGTGGAAGTTTGAGGCAAATATGACGGATTTACCACGAAATGTCCACATTCTGGAATGGGCACCGCAGCAAGCCATTCTATGTAAGTTTATCAAAAGTTCTCTCGTTTTACAAAGATGCCTTCATTGTTAGTTCCATCTGTTTATCTTATATCTTATACTATTATATAAAGCGGAAGAGTTTGTTTTTTTGAACGCGCTAATCTCCGTATCTACAAGTCTAATTTATATAATTATTTGGCTATAAAACATCACGCTACGAACAATAGGAGCTGAGCAGAGCGTGTGAAACCGCGCGGAAGTAGCTAGTAGATAATAAATAAATTTTTAATCAACTGATACTATTCCATAGATTCTGTGCTGTTTTTAAGGATTTTGGAAAACCGATAATTTCTTACCTAGACAATCGAAATGGAACTTTACAAATCTCATTCGCGACTATTCTACCCACAGCAAACAATTGATTTGCTACTGATTCCAATTATTAATAACCACTTCTTTTCCAGCTCATCCTAAACTTGCTGTCTTTATCACTCATGGAGGTCTCCTATCAACCATAGAGTCTGTCCATTTCGGAATTCCAATCATCGGTATACCTGTCTTGGCTGATCAGCACATGAATATCAAAAAAGCAGTCAGAAATGGATTTGCTCTTAAAGTAGATCTGTCTTATACAATGGCTGATCAACTCAAGAAAGCAATCATTGAAGTTACCAGTAATTCAAAGTAAGTACGAAATAAACAGAAAGAAGTTCTAATGCTTTTGACAGCAGATCTAGTAACATAGCTATTAGAAGTTACTTGCTATAATAATGACTCAAACCTGTGAATATTGTATCAAAAAGAAATACTCACGCCTTGTAGTGCTGATGAACTGTAAGATGAAGCTAAACTTCCAATAAAAATAACGATATTTTCATTTTAAAATCTTGTAATACAAAATTCTATAAGTGTATTTGGATATGGTCTACCATATGCCTGGTGCAATTAGTGAATATCACTATAAGGAATAACAAATTTAATGTATTTTTAGGTATGCGCAAAAAGCAAAAGAGTTGTCGTACATCCACCACGACCGTCCAGTGAAGCCAGGAGTTGAGCTGGTGCACTGGGTGAACCACGTGATCAAGACACGCGGCGCACCACACCTGCGCTCCCCCGCTCTGCACGTCCCCTTCTACCAGAAGATGTACCTGGACCTCGCCGCAGTCCTCGTCATCCTGTTTCTAGCTGGACGACTACTCCTGAAGAAAGCTTATGCAGCCGTATTCTCAAAAAGTAAAGCCAATAAGAAGAAGACTCATTAGATTTTTCTAATTGTTTTATTTATATGAAGAGTACTGAATAAATTATTTTACGTTTATAATCTGTTGTTTGTTTAATATGGACATGTATGTGCATTGTAAATCTCCTTTACTTGACTCGTGTACATTTTGTTACGAAAAGAGATTATTCCTAGTCGACCTTGAAGTAAAAAATTCTAAAAGAAAAAATCTCAGTAGTAGCACGGAGTCTGGAATTGTGCCTGGTATGTGACAATAGGCTCACCCCCTTTTACAAGGGACTCATTACATAAATAGTATAAAGTAAGTGTTAAAAATTGTACAGTGGCATTAAGTGCCGCAATATGCACCTCTCCCTACTCCTTCAGGGTTAAAAGGCGTGTTGTTATGGTTATAGTAGTATAATAAATAATGATTACTGAATAATTACAATGAGTAACCATAACTCTAATTGGAATTACCGGTTTAAATAGGAGATAGCTTTCTTCTTTATCTTAACCATTCCACTTACCTCCACATCACACCAAGGTACACATCACACAGTCAATTGTTTCATACGGGGATCAAAACCGCGACATATTGCACAATCTCAGTCTCTGTTCCAACACCACACTGCCAAAAGTGAAGTCAAAACTAATCTCTCTCAGTCACTGGTTCACGGAGAACCTAACGGGTTGCCGGGGCTCCGGCTCGAAGTACAGAAGTAGGTGGTTTTTAGTAAGTAAGAGTCTGACACTGCGTCCCGCCTCATCCACGTGAGAGGAATCATTCGATGATTCCCCCCCCCCCTTAAGAAAAAAGCAGTCACCGATGACCGCACTCCACTAACTCCATTATAGACCTTATTTCCGAAAATTAGAGACCACTTTTGTATGAACAAATTGTGTGATTTTCGATACGACATATCAAGTGATTTAGCATTAGTGTGAAATTAACCTAGATATTAAGTGAAAAATTGGGTGAGCTTGTAACATATTCGATGAAAAGTAGATGAACTACAGCTGTCTCTTTCTAAAAGACCTAACATTGAAGGGAAAGAGTTAGTCTAAGGTCACAAAAACCATATTCGATGTCCTAATTCATAGCATACTTTTCACGTTGGTAACGGTTTAATTTCATAAAAGTAGGTCCTGAGTTTGGTAACTTGCTTAGATACATCGTAGCATAGACTACTTTGGAAACCATTGTTTTAGTAAGTATTAATTTTATTGGAATCTTTTCTCCTACGGAACAGAGAGAAATAACAATAGACATGAAATCCTTGAGAGATATAAACAGCTTTATACAGGAGCTAGTTTTCGATTCAATTTTATTTCTAACTGGAAAGTGGATATTCTTCCTAATCCAGGCGAACTGCCAAACTCTTGGTAATTTGGAACTAACAAGTCATGTGTCTTTTTTCGCGTGTGTGTCTGGTATAGAGGTACACGTGCGAAAATTAGTTAAGCTACGATTATCTCTCAACCCTACATCCGTATCGCCAACCGAATTTGGCAAGAGTGGTACTGCGGCTATAATCTCTATAGACGCCCATTTAAAAAAAAAATCATCGAATGACTGCTTCCGCCTGGGTGAGGCGGAACGGAGTGTCAGACTCTAACTGACTAAAAACCACCCCGTTCCTTCTTCTGCACGTCAAGCCGGAGCCCCGGTTATCCGTTAGGTTCTCCGCGACCTATAAACGCCCTAGAGTCTCGTGTCTCAGCTTTTGATAAATGGCGGCATAATTATGATATAAACCTTTGTTTCTTATCGCTGATTTCAAAATGTTAATGGCATACTTTTGGAAGTTTGGTCAAAGGGATTTTTATGAGTTTGCAGAATATGTCAATAGGCAATAGGCACCGCCGGTAGACCGCTAGTTTGATCATTTAGGTTTTAGTCGCCCCCGTCTGGTGGCACTCTCAAGAAGTGAGTGAAATAGAATACATCTCTACTTAAGACTGGGCAAAACTGATAGAAACAGCGTCTCGATGTCGCTGTTATCAACTTCTTCATCATCACTATCCACTGGTAGATATAAGCCTCTTTAATATCATACCACTGAGCTTCGATCTTCGGCTCGTCTTATTAAACCTTTGCGATCCATCCTGAAGATATCGTCCCTCCACATCGATGGAGTGCATTCTGCACTACGTTTGCCTAACGCGCTGTCTCCAGTCCAGAATACTTCCCCAACCAACCCAACGGACATTGGTTCTCCAACACATGGCCTATTGCCACTTCAGCTTGCTATCTGCCACACGAACAAAATTTTACTTAATAGTTTGACGCAGTGGTAGGTTGACGGCATGCTGCACAATGTGACGAGCGTTCGATTTCCTCTCGAAACTCGAAACTAATATTTGTGTGATCCACGAACACTCAGATTGTCATCATCTGACACAGAAGATAATCGTTTATTTTAATAATAAAAAGTAAATAATCTCGTAAACCAACGTCTTGACTGTACAGGCAATACTCCACAACTATTGTTTCAGATCTGTAATCTGATCAAACTCCATACGAGTATTGCATAAGGCCTATTATTTTTCATCAATCTTAATCTTCTAGATTAGATATTAAAAACGTCAACTATATTTAGGTATTTTTTTTTTTTTTTTTTTATTTTTTTTTTTATTTTTTTTTTTTTTTTTTTTTTGTTTTTTTTTTTTTATTTTTTTTTTTTTATTTTCTTTTTTTTGTTTTTTTTTTTGTTTTTTTTTTTTTTTTTTTTTTTTTTCCTTCTTATGCATGAGCCTGCGGACGGCGAGTATGGGTAGCTCGCCGCCCAAGCGAAGCTGCTAGCAGAAGCTGGTTAATAATATTTCGTTGCATAGTCAAAATTATAACAAGGTCACGAGATGAAATCTCATCTTCTGTGGATTAAGTTCGAATACTAGGCCGTGGAAGGCTCATACATATTTAGATAAACTGACTTAATTAGAGGTTTCAGTGTGGTTGGGTAGCAAACATTCACACAGTTACACAAACCAGGTTCAGCCACTGCTGGGTATAAATACGGAAATTTATACCCAGCAGTGGCTGAACCCGAGTGCCAAGCACGAATAACTATCGCATTCGTACCGTAATAGGATCGAGCGCGTTCGGCGCTCTGATTGGCCGGCTCAAGTCAACCTACCAATCAGAACGCTTAACGCGCTCGATACTGTTACGATACGAATGCGATAGTTATTCGTGCTTGGCCCTCTGGTCTGATGAAGCTAATGATGAATGAATTAGTTAGACAAGGCCGCATCAAAATTTTTACAATTTCGAGATTCAATGATTACTTACAGACCAAAGTTCGTTAGCCCGCTTTTTTTAAACTTTGCATTCAAAGTCCAATTGGGTAGACTTAATTTTATTTTAATGTCCGTCTGGTAAATTATTTAAAAACATTTGACACGTATTTATTTTCTTACGGAAACGAATAATTTCGAAGATTATTGATTTGAAATATCGCATGACGTCACTTTTGAGTACGATTTATACTCTAAAATGACGTAGCCACCTCTCATTACTAAACTTCAAATCGTTTTATCTAAGTATTGTTTTCTTATATGACAAAATAAAAAATACGTGCCTAATATTTTTTCTTCAGGTACCTAACTAACGGACTAATTAGATTTTTAATTTTCATACACTGTCATCGTCCCTATGCTCTCAGTTCTATAACTATTATTTATTTTTATCAAAACCAGTAAAATGAAGTGGGACCTAAATGATATGTCGATCGTTTTCATTTTTAAGTTCTTCAGATGTTTTCTTTTAAGAAAAGCTTAGCTTAGTCCAGTGGCGTTACTGCAGGATGACAAGTCGACAAAATGCCACGGACCCCCAGTTGGAAGGGGTTCCGTTCAGACGTTTTTGTCTTATCTGTTTTTTATTGGGAACCGCTTAGGAATTCCTAAGAATTTACCTCGAGCCCTAAACGTTCCGCCACTAGCTTACTTAGGTACTTAATTATAAACTTCTTTGCGAGATTTTAACATGGTATTACATCATCTTAAAATGTACTGCACCTAAGTATATACATATACGTAAAGTGTTTATGAACTACGATGTCCTGTTACTATGTACCATTGTTTCTGATCAAAATTCGCACCGATATTGCGTAAGATTCAACCTAATCTGTTATTTGTTATCCACTAGATTAAATACGTGTGTAGATTTAAGCTTCCTATGGCACATGTGTATACATAAAAAAAATCTAGTAATTATGTTTTTTAAGGTTTAGAAATAGTTTATTAAAATACATAATATACTTTTATATCTATATCTACGAGGTTAAATGTTTACAACTTAATAATAAATTAATGTCAAATATAAGAAAACACTTGGTTCATGAAAAAAACGAAATTCTTTTCTAAACTAAAGCAGTTGGTTCAGAATTTATGATTCAATAATACTGAAGCACTATTCAGAATAACGTAAGCAAAAATATAGACAAGAAAATAAAGAATTGTAGCAACAAGAGTTAATGGACTGGTACTTTTTCGTGGATAACACATAAGTGATTGTAATTTAAAAACTATCTGAATTGGATTTTTTTTATTTTCCTGATAACTGTAAAAATTGCCAAAAATTACCTTACCAATCACCTGGTGCTATTTGCTCGTCGACTTCAGGACATCCCATATAAAAGTAAAATGTTATAGGGTTAGTTTTCTAATAAAACTTTTTTTCTGTTCAATAAGGAGAGTTAAGGTGAAATTTTAATTTTAAGCAAATCATATTAATGACCAATTATTTTACAAAAAAAAGTAGCAATTAACTTTTACTTATGGTTATTTCTGTGTTTTGAATATTATCATCATCATCAGCCTGTAAATGCCCACTGCTGAGCAAAACCCCCTTCTCACACGGAGAAGGTTTGAGCATTAATCACCACGCTCGCTCATTGCGGGTTGGCTATTTCAAACTTATAATTAGAAATTATAAGTCTAGTTTTCCTCAAAATTTTTTCCTTCACCGTTTGTCTATCATGTCTAAATAACCTTAGAAAGTACATTATAAAATTCGAGGGGTAACGGACTATTTGGTTTAAGCGACATTTTGGGCGATATTGTCGGAACCAGCTAATTTTTCTCTGTCGAATATATTTATAATAACTCAATATTGCCCAAATTAAACCCCTCTATATAACTAATTCGGAAAAGTCACATTGGTACTTGCTGTTGGTAGGTTTCGAACCCGCAACCTCATTCATGAGACGTCAATCGCGAAG